TATTTCTAGGTTAAACCTCTCCTGGATCAGTTTCCATCCCTTATTTCTTGTCTGGCTTTCAGCTGTTTTGGAAAATAGGTTGACCCCTTCCTCTCTTATGACAGCCCTCAGATACGCTATCATGCAGTGATGGGATTCAAATATGTGAACATCCGATTCTCTGTGTTGATTTATTTATTTTATTTTATTTATTTTTTAGATTTATATCCCGCCCTTCTCCTTGCGGACTCAGGGCGGCCACTTCCGGAAGTCCATTCTGATGCCACTTCCGGAAGTCCATTCTGGGCCTAGGCAACAAAAAATTAGCTAGCAGTTCTGCCGAAGTGGTGTGAACCGGCTGAATCCCACCACTGTTGTCATGTCTCCCTTGGTCCTTCTCTTCTCTAGACTAGCCATGCCCAGTTCTTGCAACCATTCTTCATGTATTTTAGCTTCCAGTCCCCTAATCAACTTTGTTGCTCTTCTCTGCACTTTTTCTAGAGTCTCAATATCTTTTTTATAGTGTGGCGACCAAAACTGGTTGCAGTATTCTTAGGTGTGGATTTACTAAGGCTTTATACTGTAGTAGTATTAGTAGTTCAAGTGATCTTGATTGAATACCTCTGTTAATGCAACTTAGGATTGCATTGGCTTTTTTGGCTGCCACCGCACACTGCTGGCTCATATTTAATTGATTGTCCACTAAGACTCCAAGATGCCTCTCACGGTTACTGCTATTAAGCCTGGTTTCACCCAATCTATATGTGTCCTTTTGGTTTTTCTTGCCTAAGTGTAAGACTTTACCTTTCTCTACATTGGATTTCATTTTGTTAGATAGGGCCCAGTGTTGAAGTCTGTCAAGATCCATCTGGATCTTGAGTCTGTCAGATTCTAGGGTGTTGGCTATTCCTGCCAGCTTAGTATCATCTGCACATTTGATAAGTTCCCCTTCTATTCCCTCATCTAAGTCATTTATGAAGATATTGAAGAGTACTGGGCCCAGAACAGAGCCCTGGGGCACCCCACTACACACTTCCCTCTTTGTATATTTGTAATCTTAAATAATATGGTAAACTATAATTAATATGTAATATATTATTATTTTAAAGTGATTATAAGTAATTAATATTAAGCATTGTTAAGTAGTGAAATGAATGAGATTTATTGACTAATTTGTTATTTACATGATTATATGGAAAGTTGTTTAATAATAGAGTAGTTATTAAGATTTAATATGTAAACCCGGACTGGTAGACTTGCTGAAGCGATGTTATTTTGTGGGATTAATCCGACTTTTGTGTTACCCCTTTCCCCTGGTCTAACCTTTTTGTATGTTTCCCGTTGTCTTATCCTTTTTGACCCTATCCCTTTATTACCTTTATAAAACTCAATAAAATATTTATATATATATATATAAAAGAGTACTGGGCCTAAGACGGAACCTTGTGGTACCCCACTGCTTACTTCCCTCCATGTAGACGTAGTACCATTAAGGACTACTCGTTGAGTACAGTTTGTTAGCCAGTTACAAATCCATCGCTCACTATTCCACTTTTTTCTAGCTTTCCAAGAAGTAGGTTGTGGTCTACTTTGTCGAATGCCTTGCTGAAGTCTAAGTATACTATGTCCACATCATTTTGCTAGTCTACTAATTTAGTCAGTGTCAATGAATGAAATAAGATTGATTTGGCATGATCTGCTGACTTTTAGTTATTACTTTACTCGTTTCTAGATGTTTGTAGATCTTTGACAGTTTCCTCCAATAACCATGTGGGTGATCGTCCACTCCACTAATTTTGGGGCGGAAGGGCTTGTCTTTGCAGTTTTATTGGCAAGATTTTTCAGAAGGATTGCCTCCTTCCTAGGGCTAAGAGAGAGTGACTGGCCCAAGGCCTCCCAGCTGACTTTTGGCTTATGGCTGGAGTAGAACTCATAGTTTCAGTGACAATTGATTCTGAGTAGCAGAGAAGAATTAATGAAAGCCTCATCCTTTATTTGCTAAATTTATATTCTTTTGTTCCCAAGAGCCCAGGGCAACTTACAAGAGCTCTCCCTTCGTGATACACCCACAAAAACTCTTATGTAGTAAGCTAATTTGTCAATCAGCTGTACTATGGTGTGCTTAGCCAAAAAAGAAAAGAGAAAAGAAAAGGACCCCCCCTCACCCCCCCTATTCTGGTAAATCAGATGACCTGATTTACAGATGTATTAAGCTAACAGCTGGTCTTCCCAATGTTCCAAGCCACAGGCTACACACTCCATTCTAGTTTAGTTTAGCAAGGTGTGAGAATTGATTCAAAGGCTACAGTAGAAAAGAGGTGGAAACTTTTGACATTAATCACTGTGGAAGAACGGTGGGTGAAGTTGACAAATTTTGCAAAAGCGGATAATTGTCTTCTTTGACCGGAAAAAAGACATCCACATTTATGGGTGACTGGAAACATCTTAGGAACTTTTTATATATATAAAAAAAACCTGAACTTTGATTTATGGCTTTGATGATTAGATAGGATAGGATAAAGAAGAGAAATACGATGCAACTTTAGAGAGAGGTTAAAATCTGTTTGTGTTTTTAACTGCTGTGAAGAATATCAGAAGCCATTTCTTCATATCTTTTTTCTTTCTATTTTTCTTCATCTTTTTTGTCATTTTTTTCTTTTTCTTTTTCTCTTTTATATTAGTTTGTATTAAACTAATGTTTGCAGTAAACATTTTTTGTTTGGATGGTTTAATTGTATTATTGGAATATATATTATTATGTATCATATTATAACATGTAATTATAAAATTATGAAAAATAATTAATTTTTAAAAATTCATTCTATATCCATACATATATTCTACATATTGTATATATATATATATATATGAATACTGTATATATTTCTACTGTATCTATCTAGCAATCTATTATCTATCTAGCAACCTTATCTAATCTATTTAGCAATCTATTATCTATCTAGCTGTTAGATAGCTATTATCCATCTATGTATCATCTCTATCATCTGTCTCTCTCTATCTGTCTATCTATCTCTATCTATCTCTATCTAGCAATCTATTACCTATCTACTATTATCTATTTATTATCCATCTATGTATAATCTCTGTCTGTCTGTCTGTCTGTCTGTTTGTCCATCTAACACTGGAAGTTTTTAAGAAGAAACTGGACAGCCATTTGTCCGAAATGGTGTAGGGTTTCCTGTCTGAGCAGGGGGTTGGACTAGATGACCTCCAAGGTCCCTTCCAACTTTATCATTACTATTATTATTATTATTATTATTATTATTATTATTATTATTATTATTATTATTATTATTATTATTATTATTATTACCTATCTATCTATCTATCTATCTCTTATCTATCTGTCTGTCTGTCTGTCTGTCTGTCTATCTATCTATCTATCTATCTATCTATCTATCTATTTATCTACTGTAGAACATGAGAGATTTGAATTCAGTACAGCACTACTGAATTCAGTACAGCACTACTGAAGTGATACCGATCACTTAAAAATTGCCAAGTAATTAAGCAGTAGGAGGACTTATTAAAAATTATTTTGAAAAATATCGTATCTACCTTGAATGCAGAGTATGGACTTAGACCTTGTCTATCAATACTAATAGACATTCTTTTATATTTGACATAAAATAGTAGGTTTATTAAGAAATACAGAAAATAAGGAAGCCTCATTTCTATTGAAACTACATCCTGATGATAAAGAAAGAGACAGGAAAATCTCCTCGTGAAGCAGAGACTCATTTCATTAGCAACAGGCTTTTGAGAACTACAGCAGATACAAAGAGAAGATGTGGAGAATCTTCCCCTCATCTTTTCATTTTTTCTGCCGGTCAAGGAGGAGAGGCTGGCTCAGGAATTCTGGGAGTTGAAGTCCACGAGTCATAAAAGAGCCAAGGTTGCCTATCCCTGCCCTGGCCTAGATCATCCCTGACAAATGGCTGTCCAGTCTCTTCTTAAAAGCCTCCAATGATGAAGCACCCACAACTTCTAGAGGCAGGCGGTTCCACTGATTAATTAAGAGAAAGGGGAATCCACTTTTAAAAGTAGGATTTTTTTTTCTTGTGGAAAGGGTTTATTAGCTTCAGGGAATGGGAGAGCATAATTGGTTGGCAAAGCACATTCTTTGTCTCCTGCTTGAGCCAGGGGGCTGGATTAGAAGACCTTCAAGGCCCTTTTCAGTTTTGTTGTTCTGTTTGTATGGTGTTAGCAACTCCAATCCTTTCTCTAAAATTTTGGAAAATGATGTCATCAGCCCAGGGTAAAGGCTGTAGATCAGACATGACTAAATTGGAATTCCCCCCAGATGTTTTGGGTGTGTGAAATGGACTTTTTTTTGGGGGGGGAATATTGGGGTAGATGGAATCCTAAACTCGATGCCTACCTCATCCTAAAGTCATCTGGTGGTTTAATGTGGTTTGGGTTAGCACCCCGAGCCAAGCAGTATGTTTTGTAAACTCTGACTTATGATCTAGCATGTTGGGAATCCAACCGATTGTAATGTACTAAAAAAAGCCAAGGCAGTCATGATTTACCCTACAAAACAGGCAGTTTATTTACAAAATTCCCCAAATTTCCATTGTTTCATTTGAACAATCCCAGAAGCATGGATACAATCCAGTTAAGATTGCGAATGCCTGAATGTTTTAATGTTTTCAATTAAAACCATTTAGTGTAGAAATGGTTATCAAAGATGTCGAATTGAACAAAACATCTGAAAACACTCTTAAATAACATGCATGTGGATGAATTGAGAACTCATCAGTTAGAGATGGAACTTAATACGGCTATAGGCCAACTGCTATAAAGTCAGAAGGGTGGATGGATAAACAGGAATTTCACAATATGGGATAAGGATGTTTAATCTTTTTTTCTCCTGTTCTCATGGTGTAAATTGGGAGGCCTAGCAGAAAGTTTAGTAAGCCATGGGGGTGTTTATTTGTGTACAACACCTACTGGAGGGCACATAGTCAATATGGATGCTCATTAATGACAATTACAAGATGCCGATGGAAGTATGCACATCTGGGGGAACAGTTTTCAAATGAGTAAAATATTCATTATGACATCATGGTGCCAGTTCTGCTCCCTGAGCTTGGTTGTTTTCTTGCAGATGTTTCATTAACCAAACTAGGTAACATCATCAGTGCTAGCAAACTCAGAGAACATAAAGGATCCTTCAGAATAATAGAATAACAGAGTTGGAAGGGATCTTGTAGGTCTTCTAGTCCAACCCCCCTGCTCAGGCAGGAAACCCTATACCACTTCAGACAAATGGTTGTCCAGTCTCTTCTTAAAAACTTCCAGTGTTGGAGTATTCACAACTTCTGGAGGCAGGTTGTTCCACTGATTAATTGTTCTCACTGTCAGGAAATTTCTCCTTAGTTCTAGGTTGCTTCTCTCTCATTAGTTTCCCTCCATTGCTTCTTGTCCTGCCTTCAGGTGCTTTGGAGAATAGATTGACTCCCTCTTCTTTATGGAAAACCCTTAGATATTGGAACACTGCTGTCATGTCATCCTTAGTCCATCTTTTTATTAAACTAGGCAGGTACAATTCCTGCAACTATTCCTCATATGTTTTAACCTCCGGTCCTGTAATCATCTTTGTTGCTCTTCTCTGCACTCTTTCTAGAGTTTCAACATCTTTTGTGTATCATGGCAACCAAAACTGGATGCAGTATTCCAAGTGTGGTCTTACCAAGGCATTATAGACTGGTATTAACACTTCAGTTTTGATCATGTGGATGTTGCAATGGTCATAAGTGCGAAAAACAGTCATAAGTCACTTTGTAACTTTGAACGGTCACTTAATGAACTGTTGTAAGTTGAGGAATATCTGTCTTATAAAGGGAAGAGAGTCTTCTTCAAAGGTCTTAAGGTTTTCTATTTTTCTAATGCAGTTCCAAGATGGACTTCTATAATAATTCTTCATGAAGTATCTACTGAGATACCTAGATTCTTGGTAAAGTTGCAGATTCTGTAACAAACAGTGGCTTATTGGTTACAGGACTACCTAACTCAGTGGTTCTCAACCTGTGGGTCGGGACCCCATTTGGGGTCAATCGACCATTTCATGGGGGTCACCAAGCAAGCTGTCCGCCATTTTTTTTGTCCGCCATTTTTTCCCCCTTTTCCGGCAGGTGCCTTACCTCCCTTGGGCTGGGCCAGCTGGTGGTCGGCCTGCTCCGTCTCTGCCACTTGCCAGCTACGCCTCGGCCAGCGCAGGGGGTGGAACCATGCATGCGTGGCGCTCCCGGGCAGGGAAAGTCCTCGACTTACGACCGGTTGGGTAGTCCTCGACTTACGACCGGTTTAGTCCTTGACTTACGACCGGTTCAGTCCTCAACTTACGACCGGTTGGGGTCGCGGCATTAAAAAGGTTGAGAACCACTGACCTAACTGAAGATGAGAATTAGAACTTGGAGAAGAAAATATCTCCTACCTCAAATCACACTAATCAGGCTTAAAAATTGAGATTGGTCATGGTGATGAGCAAGATAGGAAGGGGAAGCACCCTTCTTTTATTGACCAAAGCCAAAGCCTGGGAATCTACAAGACGTTTAATTAGATCAGTGGGGGAATTAGTGAGTTGTGTGAATGCTCAGAGTGTCATTTGTCCCAGTCAATCCAAGGGAATTATATTTAATGCAAAGCAGATCTGACCATGCAAAGCAGCCAACTGTGGTTTATCTGATAGACCATGCATAAACAAAGCATAAGTTAAGTTAATGGATGTGTTGTGAGAACTTTCAAAAGGATCAGCTGATGTATTCATTTAACCAGAGTGGTTAGGGGTCTTAACAGATCCATTATGCGTAAGGTTAACTTAAGTTCACCCAGACTTCTCTTGTGGGGACATTCAATTCACTGGATTAACCTGGCAGTGGAGGAGGGGCTTCAGTATCCTTCTGGAGCAAGAGGACATGGGATAGTGGGCATATACTGCCTCCAGTTTTGGTCATCACGATGTAAAAAAGATGCTGAGACTCTAGAAAGAGTACAGAGAAGAGCAACAAAGATGATTACGGGACTGGAGGCTAAAACATATAAGGAACGGCTGCTGGAGTTGGGTATTTCTAGTTTAACGAAGAGAAGGACGAGGGGTGACATGACAGCAGTGTTCCAATATCTCAGGGGCTGCCACAAAGAAGAGGGAGTCAAGCTATTCTCCAAGGCGCCTGAAGGCAGGACGAGAAGCAACGGATGGAAACTAATCAAGGAGAGAAGCAACTTAGAACTAAGGAGAAACATCCTGACAGTTAGAACAATTAACCAGTGGAACAACCTGCCTCCAGAAGCAGTGAATGCTCCAAAACTGGAGGTTTTAAAGAAGAGACTGGACAGCCATTTGTCTGAAATGGTGTAGGGTTCCTGCCTGAGCAGGGGGTTGGACTCGATGACCTCCAAGGTCCCTTCCAACTTTATTATTATTATTATTATTATTATTATTATTATTATTATTATTATTATTATTATTATTATTATTATTATTATTATTATTATTATTATTATTATCATCAATCAACCAATGGAATAGCTTGCTTTTAGAGGTTGTGGGTGCTCCATCACTGGAGGCTTTTAAGAAGAGACTGGACAATTCCAGCTAGCTGAGGAATTCTGGGAGTTGAAGTCCACAAGTCTTAAAGTTGCCAAGTTTGAAGACCCCTGCAATACATTAACTTCTAAGTTCAAAACCTGGGATAACCAAGTGCAGTTTTTGGGTTCACATAACATGGTACGCCCATGATATGGTTAAATATTATGGAATAGTTCACCAAATTAAGGGTTTGCATTGCTGTGTATTGAACTACAAATTACCCAGTCATATTTTAGCCTGATATAACATGTTATGACAATTTAGTTGGTTTTTTAAGGGTTTTTTTTTTTTAAAAAAATCCCACCTTTATTATTTTTTATAAATAACTCACGGTGATAAACATACACTCCTCCCATTTTCTCCAAAACAACAAGGTGGTTTAGTTGAGAAAGAGAGGCAGTGGCCCAAAGTCACCCAGACAGCTTTCATGCCTAAGGTGGGACTAGAACTCACCCTCTCCTGGTGATTGGACCAAAATCACCCATCAACTTTCATGCCTGAGGCGGGACTAGAACTCCGGTCTCCTGGTGATTGGCCCAAAGTCACCCACCGGCTTTCATACCTAAGGCGGGACTAGAACTCACAGTCTCCTGGTGATTGGCCCAAAGTCACCCACCGACTTTCATACCTAAGGCGGGACTAGAACTCACAGTCTCCTGGCGCTTGGCCCAAAGTCACCCATTGGCTTTCATACTTTCTGTGGGACTAGAACTCAGAGTTTCTAGTTTTTAGCCTGGTGCTTTTAAGGCAGGAGTAGAATTCATGCTCTCCCACTTCTAGCCTGATGCTTTTACCACTACACCGACCAGGCTCTCCTACTTTTTCTGCCTATTTAACTTATCCAGAAATGTATGGAGATCCTCAGTTTTCCAGGTCTTTGGGCCAATCACCAGGAGACCGTGAGTTCTAGTCCCGCCTTAGGCATGAAAGCTGTCGAAGTGACTTTGGGCCAGTCCCTTTTTCTCAGCCCGACCCACCTCACAGGGTTGATGTTGTGGAGAAAATGGGAGGAATATTGTTTGTGTTCATCCCCTTGAGTTATTTATAAAAATAATAAATGTGGGATATAACAATAATAATAATGATGATGATGATGATGATGATGATGTTGGAAGGGATCTTGGAGGTCATCTAGTCCAACCCCCTGCTCAGGCAGGAAACCCTATATACCTTTTGAGTTATACATCAATCCTTCATAAACCCTTTATGTATTTAGGGCAACATCAGTAATGCATCAGAAACAACTGGTTGAGGCTGTGTACATTCCCTTCCTCTTTTTTTTTTTTTTTTTAAAAACACACACTTTTATAAACCTTTCATTTTTCTCTTCTTCCCGGTTCCCAAGTCTCTGATCATTTGTTCCTTGCGTATGGTCCATGACGTGGAAAGTTTCTGCTTTTGAACATGTGGTTTCTAATTACTCTGGGTTTTCCCTCCCTCCTTTTTTTCCTCCTTCAGCTGCTATGGCTGTGTCTCAACGTGGGATTGTTTTGGAAAACTTTCCGACTCTATTATTGCGAACCGCAGTATTACTATTTGCATCGGATGCTGGGGGTAAGTGGTGCAGGAGCGATTCTCCCTTTTTCTTGAAATTCAACGGGAAGCCGGGCTAATAAGGATGATGTGAGATTTCTGGGGAAGCTCAAAAAAAGGATATGAGGACGGGCGTTTGGTTTAAGGTGGGGAAAGGGTTTGAGTTGAGAAAAAGACTTTTTCAAGGGCCTGGGAAAGCAGACTCTCCCCTTCTGTTCCCAGCTGCAAACTGACATTCTGGCATTGGCCACATGAACTCAGTTCAACAGTTAGTCTCGGGCCTCTTCTGTTAGCCATGGTTACGCTAACCAGCCTCGTGGGCTTGTTCGGGTGAGCGCTTCCATGCCAGCTGTTCCTAATATGGATATCTCAAGGGACAAGTTATGATTTTTTGTGTGTGTTAAAGTGCATGTTTGCACCTCTCCCATTTCGTTCTCCTGAGTCTCTTGTGCAAACTCATTGGAAAATTAAAAAATAAATAAAAATAAAGACACCAATGGAGGAAAAACCAAATTCTTTCCAAAGGCTGCTTTTTCTTTTCTCTCAGCGGGAAGAAAATAACAGATATTTTTCAAGCAGGATCGTAGATTAGCCTGTGGCAGCGTTATAGGTAATTCTCAACTTAATGCTGGCAACTGGGAGAAGATTTTTTGTTGATAAGCATGTCAGCTGTTCAATGAGCCACGCCTGATTGCATGACCTTTCTTCCCCCCCCCTTGGCTGTTAAGCAAATCACTGCAGTTGTTAAGTGAATCACGCAGTTGTTATGCAACTCTGGCATCCCCCTCCATTGGCTTTGCTTGTCAGAAACTGCCCTGGGAATGTTGCAAAATGACAGTCACACGACCCCAGTAGGCAGCAAACATGGGAAACTCATGTCGGTTACCAAACACTTGAATTTTGATCAAGTCACTCTTGGGATGCTGCTAGGGTCGTAGGTGTGAGGACTGTTTATGAGTCATGTTTTAAAGTGCTGTTATAGCTTTGTATGGTCACTAAACGAATGGCTGTAAGTTGAGGACTACTTGTATTCTACAGCTAAATAGAGGAAACTGATTCCGACCTCTTTGCGCCCAATGCGATAGCCCCAAATCAGAAAGACTCTTGTTTAGCGCTTTTCCAGACTAGAAAATTTGGACTAAATTTGATCAATGAGCTAGCTATGCCTGATGAAAAATCATGTTTTACCCTGAAAAGGTAGTACCAGTCTCCTTTGAATTTTTGTATTTCAAAGTAGTGGTGTAGGGTTTCCTGCCTGAGCAGGGCGTTGGACTAGAAGAGGGGTTCCCAGGCCGTGGAACAGACTGGCTAGGGCAGGGGTAGGCAACCTCGGCTCTTTTATGACTCGTGGACTTCAACTCCCAGAATTCCTGAGCCAACATGGCTCAGCTTGAAAACCTCTCCCTTTCCCCTCAGCATGGCTGGCTCAGGAATTCTGGGAATTGAAGTCCAGGAGTCATAAAAGAGCCAAGGTTGCCTACCCCTGGGCTAGGGCATGCACATGTGTACACGCGCTCACCCCCACTTGCACTAGCCTCACTTCCGCAGCGAAAACAGGATGCCACGTGGTGAAAATGGGGCAGTGTGAGTGTCACGCAGGTGCTAGCATCACCCTGTTGGTGTCACGCATGCTCGTGGCCCCGTTTGTGTGTGCGCGCGTGCGCGTGCATAAAGTGCTTCCCCCTCCCTTTCCTTCCAGTCTGCAACCGAGAAAGATTGGAGACCTCTGGACTAGAAGACCTCCAGGGTCCCTTTCCTATTCTATTCTATTCTATTCTATTCTATTCTATTCTATTCTATTCCATTCCATTCCATTCCATTCCATTCCATTCCATTCCATTCCATTCTCTATTTGCTATTCTATTCTGTTCTGTTCTGCTCCGTTCTGCTCTGCTCTGCTCCATTCCATATTCTATTCTATTCTGTTCTGTTCCATTCCACTCCATTTCATTCTCTATTTGCTATTCTATTCTGTTCTGCTCTGCTCTGCTCCATATTCTATTCTATTCTATTCTATTCTATTCTATTCTATTCTATTCTATTCTATTCTATTCTATTCTATTCCATTCCATTCCATTCCATTCCATTCCATATTCCATTCCATTCCATATTCCATTCTCTATTTGCTATTCCATTTCATTCCATTCCATTCTCTATTTGCTATTCTATTCTGTTCTGCTCTGCTCCATTCCATATTCTATTCTATTCTATTCTATTCTATTCTATTCTATTCTATTCTATTCTATTCTATTCTATTCCATATTCCATATTCCATATTCCATTCCATTCCATATTCCATTCCATATTCCATTCCATTCCATTCTGTCTTTCTATCTATATAAACTTTGGAATAAGTCCTACAGAGCTCAGTGACTGGATTCACACATTGTACTAAGTTACAGTTTCTTTAAAATGTGGTTGGTTGTTTTGGGAACAATTGGCTGGAATCACATAGTGAGCTAACCCCCTGGATTATAAAGCACAAAAAAGATTAAGTTGATATGATTTATTAAACTGAAGCCAAACAAATTACAGTGCGCCTTAGGGTAGTGTGTAAATTCAGCCAGTGTGTGTCTGAACAAATGTTGCTGGGATCAGATTGCAAAAATTCCCTCCTGTGTGAGGCACGTCTCCAAGAATGAGTTCCCCACTATTTTGATCTCAAATATTTCAGAGATTTGTGATGTTTAAAAAATAATAATAATTCCTCATATTTTACAGCAATGGTGAGATAAAATGTCTTTAAAAAAAAAAAAAAGATACATGCTAGGATTAATAAGTGCAACCTAAACTACAGTATCTGGAAATTTTCATGTTCATAAGAAGAGGATAATTATGTTTTATCTAGTATTTGCTGCTTGCTCTCCAGGTTTTCAGCACTTCCTGGTCCATTTTTTTTAACAGTGTACTGTATATATGATCATTGAAGAGAAATCCATATGGAGTTATTAATAACGGGTCCCCAACCTGTGAGCCGTGGCCCACTAATGGGTTGTGGCCTCCTGGCCACTGGGCCGTGGGACGGGCTGGCTAGTGCGCGCATATGTGTGCGCTCACTCACGCCCACTCACGCTAGCACTGCCGCTGTGGTGAAAATGGGGTGGTATGCGGCGAAAATAGGGCGGCATGCAGCAAAAAACGTGTGGCGCTAGCGCCCACGTGGCAAAAAACGGGGCAGTGCTAGCGAGTGTCATGTGGGCGCTAGCACCACCCCGTTTGCGTCGTGCATGCTCGTGGCCCCGTTTGTGTGTGTGCACACTCGCGTGCATAAAATGCTTCCCCCTCCCTTTCCCTGTGGTCCGCCAGCTGAGAAAGCTTGGAGACCTCTGATTTATAAGATACAAGTAGTCCTTGATTTGTAACCCTTCATTTAGTGATGGTTCAGAGTTACAACAACACTGAAAAAAGTGATTTACGACCATTTTTCACCTTACAACCATTGCAGCCTCCCCATGATCACGTGATCAAAATATGGACGGTTGGCAACTGGTTTATATTTAAGATCGTTGTGGTGTTTCTGGGGTCATGTGGCCCCCTTTTGCGACCTTCGGGCAAGCACAATCAATGTGGAAGCCAGATTCGCTTAAATAATCATGTTACTAATTTAACAATTCCAGGAATTCACTTAACAACTGTGACAAAGAACGGTCGGGCAAAACTCACTTTACAGCTGTCTCGCTTAGCAATAGAAATGTTGGGCTCAGTTGTGGCCGTAAGCCAAGGACTAACTGTACTTCCTAGTCCTTTTTTTCTAACAGTTGTAATGTATATATGACTAATGTAGACAATCCCCTACGGAGTTATTTAGGAAATATATTGATAGAGATCTTCAAACGTTCAGTTGTAAGTGCTAGGAAATCAAGAGCAAGCTTCGTGTTATTAGTGAGTAGTAACAAAGCTCTGCCTTCAGATATTTGATTTCATTAGACACAAGTGCATTTCGAGGGTGGAGGCAATGATGGCAACCTGCCAATCAACACTACTTTTTTCTCCTTTTCTTTTGCAAAATACATACCATAAAAAAATCCCTTCCATTCCCCATGAATCTAAGAGATTCTAGCTACACAAGGGTTAGGAATGTCTACGGAGATTCTCAGCCATCCAGGTCATGGTTGTCCCAAAGGTGCTTTTTCAGGAGGCAACTGGACTTTCTTATTTTTCCTTTGAAGATGTTTCGCTTCTCATCCAAGAAGCTTCTTCAGCTCTGACCGGATGGTGGAAAATGGAAGGATTTATACTTCTTGCAGACAGCTGGTCATTTGCATTCTTTCAGAGTCTCGTTGAGGCCTTTTGGAGGACTTAGAAAAGGCTCCACACCCATTTGCCTTACTCAGGCGACCCGGATGACACAGATAAGCCTCCAGGAGGCATCAACAACTCTCTAAAAGAATGCAAATGACCAGCTGCCTGCAACTAGTTGAGCTGTGTGTGCATGCGTGTGCCACTCGCATGAGTAAAGCTGCATGCATGTATAGGCCCACCGCTCACACGATCCAGTTCCCCTTCCCCCCCCCCCAGCCAGACCGCCAAGCCGCAAAGGTTGGGGACCACAGCTCTATGAAAATAAAGTACCATTTCTGGGATCCTGGTGGTGCCTGATTTATCTCTTAAAAACTGACATTAGGAGATTAAATTTATCCACCAAAACATGCAGTCATTAATTGGATGAAACTAATTTATGTATTTGTTTGTATCCCACCTTTATTATTTTCACAAATAGTTCAAGGTAGTGAACATGTCAAACACACTTTCCTCTTCCTATTGTCCTCACTACAGCAGCCCAGTGAGTTTGTTTGGTCTGACAGAGAAGGATTGGCTGTTCCCCCCCCCCCCAAATAAGCAGCATTGAGATGAGGGGGGATTGAATTAGCTTAACTTTAAATTAATTAAAAGTAAATGCACTTAACGAACTACACTTGGTTAAATGCAGGGAATATTAAACCAAAGAGAGCTTATTAAAATTGCAATTCCCCTTGTGCTTTTCCTTACATTCCTTTTTCC